TAGCAAGATTTTTATTTTGCCCCCTTGCCATTTTGTTGAGGGGTGACCTCCCTGTGAAGGGGTGGCTTCCCAACTGGCAGTCCATTATTTCGGGGGTTTTCTGATGGAAGAGGTGCTGAAGCTTTTCAACAATATTTGACTATTAAAATATTTTCCAAAAAGTTACACCATTTGAGAAACACGTTCCCTTTCTGTGCTTTCTCGATTTTGGAATGTTACGATATTTTTGCTTGAACTTTCTCGGATGACTAAGAGAAGAAAGAAACATAATTGCCCCAAGGAGATAGCTCCTTATTATCTGTTGTCGGTCTCTCAAAATTTTAAGTAGCGTTATGTGTGGAAGTTTGGTCTCTAGGGTTCTGCCAGTGTACTGGCTCTCTAAAATGCTATCTTCTGCCAGATTAGTTAGAATTTGATCATGGTCAGCGGTGGTAAGTTCATGGCTGTCACTTGACGTCAAAGAGGTGTATATTTCTGTTTGATAGGATGCCAATATTTTCACCCTAGCTATCAGCACATTTTTCATTGTTTAGAGGACATGTATGTTGCATGGAGCTGCGGAGTTCATGAACCTCCTTGAGACGTCATAATTTTATAAGTGCTTTAATTTATACATGCATTGTCTTGTTGACATATGATTCAATGCAAACAGAAATTCCCTCAATTTCCAAGTTTGTGAGAGCTGCTTAAACATCGAAAGCCATGTTTGCTAATCCTTCACCTTCTTCTTGTAGGGTGTTCTGGTTTTTCTCGCTGCAAAATCTGGATTTATTAAGAATCGGGATGACGCTGCTCGATTTCAGGATTTTATCATCTGCGTTGAAATGCTTATAGCTGCTGTTGGTCATTTTTATGCATTTCCTTACAAAGAATATGCTGGTGCAAATATTGGTGGATCTTGCGGGTTAACTAGAAGTCTTGCTCATGCCTTAATGTTGAATGATTTCTACCACGACACTGTCCACCAGGTAGGCCGTAATGTTAATCTACCAAACACCTACCTTCTATAATGGCAAAACTTCCTTATGACTGACTGACTGGCTGGCTTGCTTAATTTTGTTTCAGTTTGCACCTACTTATCACGACTATGTGCTTTACAATCATAATCACGAGGGTGAAGAGGGGGCAATAAAGTATCGAGCGCGTACCTTTGTGCCGACTGGTCAAGAAATGGATGCTGTGAGAAGAAACAAACACATGCTAGGAAACAAGTTGGACGAGATCCAGCTGAGCAGTCAGTCATCATCTGGGGGCAGCACCCCCAAGCATACATCTTCTTCAGTACCTGCCGATTCGGATGCCATGAAATCTTCTCTACTTGTTGATACTTCAAATTCTTTGTCTGTTCCATACGACATGTCACTCATAGACATGGACTTGTCCAGCTACCCTGCAAAGGTACCTGCAGCAGATGATACAACGGGGACGAGGTGACAAATACCACGGAAGCAGCGAAACTAACAGTTTGAAGACTGTCTGACCTCCTCCAGAGGAACATGAAGTGTGCTTGAGCAAAAGTTGATGTATTATTGTATGCCAATAGTTTATTAATTGCCAATCTGGATGAATGCTTTGAAAACCAAAGCCATTGGTTTCATGTTGTCGACATCGTGTGTCAGTCAGTCGTGTTATAGCGCATTGATCATCTTGTAGATATATGGAATATCATTGGATTCCACAAGCAATCTAGAGTTTTACAGTTGTACAATAGTTTTCAAGCTTTGAGGGTCATCTTAATTAGTCTCTTTTGTATCCTGCTTCGGTTACAAATTTGTAGACTGATAGTAGGTGGTTTTCTGGAATTCCATCAGAAATGGATCCGTAATCTCGGATAGAAGGATTGGCTTTGAGGTGGATCCATAGGTCCCTGCTCGAACCTGTTGGTAGTCGATCAACTATTTGAGCTGCTACTACGGTAAGAGTGGGCCACTGCGTTATCATGAGCCGACCCCTCTCAACCAGCCAAACAATAAATGAACTCTATATTTTGATCAACCACTCCAAGGACATTCATTCCAATAGTTCCCTTACGAGTAGGGGTGGAAATTGGGGTGGGTGTGGTTACTCGCCCCACATTTTCCGGGTAACCACACCCACAAATGTAGAATTATGATATCCACAACCCGCTGCGGGTTGGTTGTGGATACTCACAGAAATTTCACATTAAATATAATAATATGGTAATTAAATAGTGATGATGTATTTCTTCTCACACAAAAACAAAAACATACATAATAGAAAGTTAATAAAGTGTTAAATAAATTATAAATCTCGAATATAATAGGTTTGTTAGTGTAAAATTAGAATAGATGGATTTGGAAAGAGATTTGAAGATAACGCTGAGGCAGAGTGACCTGTTACCAGACAAACATCGTTGCATGTCACGGCTCCTCCGATGGCAATAACAAAAAAACACAAAAGTGGCTCGATAAGTGTAGGCGCCCGCTTTTAATGATTTGCTTATTCTCCATTCTCGATATAGTCTTCTATTGTTGGTAGTTGGTTGCATGTTGTGTTGTTCGTGAATTCGCTGAGAAATGGAGATTATTTTGGGTATCAGACTAACCTTTATCGATTATTCTTCTCTTTTAACAAATCGACTAATTTATCTGACTATATCTATGGACTTGGTTTTGTTATACAATAAACATATACCACACGGACAATGCTTATTTGATAAAAATAACCCACATGAACATTGCGCATTGACTTGTTTGTTTAATAGAATAAGTGCGTATTTGATTTTGGTAGCTACTTTAATTCTTAGTCTTCCAAGTTTCACAAACTAATATAACTAATGTGGTTAATGTGGGTTACAAAGTATTTGAAGAAATAAATATAATTAATGTGGTTAATGTGGGTTTTGTGGGTAAACCACTGTGGGTAGTGGTTAACCACTAACCACAAAAATCAATATTTTGCTACCCACACCCAACCCACTATCCACAAATTGTGGGTATGGGTATTCACAAAGTGTGCGGTTTGGTGCGGTTTGCGGGTTACCCTCAACCCGCAAACCAAACTTCCACCCCCACTTACGAGTACGGTATCTTTCTTGATTCTCTTTCGTTGCACGTACATTGACTATTGTCCCATCAAGTGCTCCAAGGCAATTCTAAAATGGAAAAAAATCAGCATCTATCAAAATGGAGCAAGGGACAAAACCACCATATAACAAACACACAAAATATGCAGTATATACCTTGAAGTGCTTCCATTTCGGATCATCTGAATTTTCAAGAACCGGCTTGGGTTTACGAAGTAAGATAGAGTGAAGTTTCAAAACCGAACGAAGAACACTCTTGATCACCCTACAAATCGTTTCTCCTGAACGACGAAAGGTAACTTGAAGTTGACGATTCTTCTCGTTATGAGCTATGGTGTAAAGAAAAATTGCAACCATTTCATCTATCTAAATGTTCCAAGTACACCTAAGGCCACCCTCATCTCTAAGAAGCTTACAAAGCTTCTGAAAAGTCCTACAGTTCATTCTAACAAGCATGGTGCAAGATATGTCGCCATGGGAAACGATACACCGCATAAAAGAGTTCCTAACTAATTGTCTACCTATTGGTGTCTCCCAAGAAGAAACATGCTCTAACATCTGCGCACCTTCAGCTTCTAACGCATCATAATATTGTACGGGGAGCTTGATGAAATTAAGCAAGAGCTCCAAGTACGTGGACACTGCAGCAATGACAGCCTTCTTCCTCTGCTTAGGGCACCTTGCCATGATCTACAATTGAACGAGGAAAGAGGAAGAATTATAGATGAAATCACAGATGGGTACTGATAAAGATTGAGGGATGTACCTACTCGATTAACCAAAGTCTGATACAACAGATTCTACAAACTAGCTCCTAGACGATTTTCGTCGATTGTGGCCCTGAAGTTTTTGATTCCCGACGAGTCGTCCGATGACGGGATGTAGAAGAGGCGGCCGACTATGATGCGATGGTGAGGAGAATGAGATTATGAGTTCGTCGGCCTATAGGAACCCTAATGGAGACAAGCCGACAACTATTATCAAGAGCATGAGAGTTTTTTTTTTGTTCTCTGGTTTCTCTATTCTCTGAAACTTGTCGAAGGTGGGGAGAGATATTGATGGAGAGGGCAATTCTGGAATTAACAAAAGTTATAAGGGACAAAGATGGAACAAAATTGTGGTACAGAATCCCTCATTCACAATCTTGGCTTTAGCTTGAGATTGATAATCACTCAATATGAGGGATTGTATGTGGGGTCATTAAAAACAAGTACATGTATTCTAGCTGAATTTTAGGCAAAAAAACGACTTAATTGCCACAATACATGAATTGGTTAAATACATCAACTCAAAACTCAACCTCCAAACGACCCCTTAATTAGTCTCTTTTGTATCCTGCTTCGGTTACAAATTTGTAGACTGATAGTAGGTGGTTTTCTGGAATTCAATCAGAAATGGATTCGTAATCTCGGATAGAAGGATTGGCTTTGAGGTGGGTCCATAGGTCCCTGCTCGAACCTGTTGGCAGTCGGTCAACTACTTGAGCTGCTAATACGGTGAGAGTGGGTCACTGCGTTTCGGCTGGGGGACAAACTGAAAATGACCCTCTCGGGGACCTTTCCTGGACATCAAACAACTAACTCAGAATTTGTATGGGCAAGGAGAATCTGACTTCTTAGTTAAAACAAAACATTGCGATGATTCTCGTGAATGCTCAAGCAATATAATTTTTGCCCAATGTTCTGAATATCAAAGTGAAGAAATTCAACCAAATCAGGACGAGTGTTCTGAATATCAAAGTGAAAAAATTCAACCAAATCAGGGTAAACAATGACAATTAGTCGACCCGTGTTTGATTAGATGTTGTATGCTTCAATACCAAGCTAACCCTGAGGCCTGAGTGAATGTGGATTAAGGATACTGGAATTTGTGGATCCCTAAGTAGTCCTCACTAATAAAATGACGTGAAAAGGCAACATAACAAAGTTAAAGTTACGTGCAACGGTTGGTGTACGTTCCAATCAATGGGTCTTGGATTGGTTTGGCCGACAACTTCGCTGAGCAGAACTGCGAACAGATTATTACAAAAAAAAAAAAAAAAAACCAGCACCATATTATTGGCTGGCTTTCCCATTGCCAGTGCCGTGACCGCAATGAAATCCACTTTGAACAACTGATTGTTGATGTCCGGGTCCGACGGCGATGGAGGAGAGATTCGCAGATTTGGTGGGAGGAGTGGAGACGACAAGGCAATTGACGATGCGGACGATGGGCCTCGCAAGAGCGACAACGAGAAGCAGCAAGTACAGGAGGAGATGACGCGGTCGAGCAAGAAGAAGAAGAGGGTAAACAAAAGGCACGATTTCAACAGAAACGGCGAAACGCGAAGCCGCCGGTGGTCCGGAATTGGGATCGGTTGTTGTTTCCCCAGGAATCCGGTCAAGGCGAAACCGGTGGCGGTGGTCGCCAAAATCAAGCCGAGAGAGGAAACAGAGCCGCGGCGGCCTTCTTCTTCTTCTTCGGCAGGTAAGTGTATCGGTTTCAGACACTGTTGCTATGGTTTCAACAAACCTCCTCCAACCCTAAAGTCGCAGCAGCAGCCAGTATCATCATCGTCTCTGTCCACGACTGCAATTGACCCTAATGCTCCTAATTTCACTTCCGAGATGCTGAGAATTTTGATTCAGAGAAACGATTTTTATTGCAGAGAATGCAACCCTCACTTCACTCTGTCTGTTTGACTACCAACTCTCACAGATGACCACACATTGCAATGAAAAAATTATCTTATCAGTACTATTTGCAGAGAACGCAAACCTCACTCTGTCTGTTTGCACTTTGCACATTCTTATTGGTACGTTGGGTCTTGTTCTTGCTTTCACAAGAGGACAGGTTCTAGATTTTGATGGTTACCTTACCTCAGTCCTTGTATAGTTGTATTCCCTCATCCAATCTGGCTACTGCAACTAACACCAACATTTCTTCGGATGAGGGAGTCGAACTGGGTCTTCGAGGATGCGGTTGATGGCCTACTATTCTGTCATTTTTCATTGTTTGCTCAACATGCATATATATAGTCTTAAGTCCGAGTATTGAGTGGTGGCTACAGCCTGTTCTATACTACATGTAGCTCCGCCAAACGCGAGCTCCAGGTCCTGTTCTTAGCTTGGGTGTATTGGTTGAAACAGGGTGCATCTTTGTTAAATTACTTGACGACGAAGGAACAAGCTTGACAAAAGCTTATTCCTTGGTTGGTGCACCCATGATATCATATCAGCTGGTGATGATTTAGCTGTTATTAGGTCACTTGATAGATGAAGCATTGAAAATTGAAGACCATGGTGAACTTGATGATTAGGGCTTGCTTGAGGTTGCACGGTGTTCTAAATGCATTTCACTGTGTCAGAGGAAGTATGTCTTAGATTTTACTAGAGCTTGTAGTAATGACAGCCTGCAAACCTGCTGCTTCTCCCTCTTCTTCGTCTGCAAAGTGGTTCATCACTGGATTCTTTGTTCTTTCTTCCGAGTTGGTCATTTGTAAGTTGGAAATCTGCAAAGCAAACCACTGTGTCTCGGTCTTTAGTTGAGATAGCATATTGTGTCATGGCGTTGTTGACTTACAAGACATTATGGCTTCAATATGTATTGCAGAATCCGGCTTGATTCTACTTCTTTTACTTCCATGTTTTCTGGAAGTCTTTCGGTGATAAAAAATTATATGATAATCTGGTATGTCTCGAGCGTACGAAACACTCGGAGTTTAGATTGTCATATGACTGCAATTGAATTTAGATGGTCTTGTTAAAATTTTGCCTGTTTCTGCTACTAATTCATTAGCTGAGGTTTCCACTAAATACTTGCTAGTTGTAAATTTCAGACACTTAATGGTTAAACTGGGCCCTGGAGTCACAGGTTGAATACTAGGAATGGAGCTTATTTTCTCATTCTCTCTACTCCTCTAGTAGTAGCATCCTGTAACAGGTTTTTGTCAATTTTTAATGTCTTAAGTAGTATTTAATTACAAAAAAGTAAAACCTATATCACCAAAAAAGAAGATTAGTTTACAGACTAATTGCAATGCTGCTTTTATTAGATGGACCTGCTAGTTATATATTGTGTGTGAATCGTGTGTACATTTCATTTTGAAGAAATAAAATAAATTTCTTTCTCAACTAGTGTAATATGCTACGGGTTATGATTTGAGTTTGAGTTTTGACTGTCTATTAGATATAGATAAATACAAAAATCTGGCATGGCATAGGTTCTAGGGCATAGTAAATTAAATCTTAAGTAATTTTACGACCACCAAGCTTACTCATTAGGACCTAGATAGGAAGTTCGTCAATTGAAATGGCTAAAAAGAAAGTTTCATGTACCAATATGATCCAATACAAACTTGATGTATCAAACTAAAAATATTTAAGGGTCGAATTGACCTTTCTAACTAGGGCCGCAAGTTTGGTATTTGTATTTGAGATATACTGAATACCATGTCGAATTTATCACTATTTGGTATTACCGAATACCGACTTATTTTTTAGGGACTGAGATTCATTTTGAAGTGCTATACGGTATTCAGGGTTATGAGATTGAGATTGGTATATATCGAAACACCGATAAATACCAAAAATTAAAAATTAATGAATATAGCACACAACCTTTGTTTATTCCTCATTCTTTCACAACTCGAGCCCCATCCAACTAAATTTTGACTTTCCATTTTAAGTCACTCTCGTCTCTCACCTAATATTTTGTTATTTCCATAACACAAAAAATCAAACACTAGTATTAGTAGTCTCTCAGCACCCAATTCATCAAATTAAAGATTACCAATGACAATAATTTGATATGTTACCTCTCCTCCATTCTCCATATCCATATCCTAGCTCTAGGTAAACTCAAGACTATTTTCTTAGTCTCTTTTTTCTAAATTAAACAATCAAATGTAATTTATATATTAAATTATTAATCGCAAAGGTAATTAATTTCATATTCTATAATATCGAATGGGATACCGAAATATTAAGGATTGAAATTGAGATACTAAGATTATTTATGAATTGAGATTGCGATTGATTTTAGTGTGTAGTTCGGTATTTAGAATTTTGGTATTTCGTACCACCGTGACCATACAATATATCGGACATGAAATGTGGAGCATAATCGTGAGTCGAGATCTCATTCTCATGAGATAAACGCGTACTGAACTTGTCGCTGTCGGCTGTAGCAGATATATCGCGATAAGGACGTCCGTCAAAATGCCACAACCCGAAACGTTTCGCATTGTAAAAATTCGATTCGGCATGCGATAAATTAGCGAGAGATTTTGATTGCCAGCAGATACCGATTCGCCCCGATAAATGGACTGAAACGTGGGAGGGATTGTTGCTTCCGTTTTCCCTCCTTTATCTTTGGCCAGTTCTGCGAAGAACCCTTGTCTGTCAGTGACGGTCTTCTAAGTTCCAAGTCCAGTACCTCTCCTCCCCGCCTCTACGCCTTCCCGCGTCCGCAATCGTCTTCTCTCCCTCACTCTCTCCAGTGCTAAACTTGCGTCTTCCTCTGCATTACCAAACTACACTCCTCGCCTCCATCACAGAGGTTGCTAGGGTTTATTTACTTGCAGCCTCAACTCAAGCCGCCGTCTGCCTCCACTTCTGCATATACAACGACGAAATGGGTATCAAGGTCTGTCGGGCGGTGACGCATTCTAATCCAATTTCGTTCGACCTTCCCGCTGGTCTACATTCTAATAGGGTTTCCGAATTCGTTCTCTGTTCAGGGTTTAACAAAGCTTTTGGCGGACAACGCTCCCCGTGGTATGAAGGAGCAGAAATTTGAAAGTTTTTTCGGTCGTAAGATTGCCATTGACGCCAGCATGAGCATCTATCAGTTTCTTGTCCGTCTCCTTCCTTATCTCCTCCTACCCTTTATGGTTTTCTTTTTCATCTGGTAGGGTTATGAGAGTTGCTATTGGTTGCAGATTGTAGTTGGAAGAAGCGGGACTGAAATGCTCACCAACGAGGCCGGTGATGTCACTAGGTCTCTTCCCTTTACATTTGAATTTTGTTTCGTCTGTGCTGCCACTGTTTCGGTTTCTTTGTGTTACCTATCTAGTCTTTACACATTTGTCCTTTCCTTCTTGCAGTCATTTGCAAGGCATGTTTTACAGAACCATTAGGCTCCTTGAGGCTGGAATTAAACCCATGTAATGTTTTTCTTTACGACTTTACTTCTCTCCTTTTTATGTTGCTGCCATTATATTGTCTGTAATTGTTTCCGCTTCCTCTTTCTGGCTTTCAGCTATGTGTTTGATGGGCAACCCCCCGATTTGAAAAACCAAGAGCTGGCAAAGCGGTACTTTGCTCGTGCCAACCTATTCAGCTTTCAATACCATACTTAATTCGCTTGATCAATCATAACATGTTATGCTGTCAAAATTGCATGCAGTTCTTCAAAAAGGGCAGATGCTACTGAGGGTTTGAGACTAGCTGTAGAGGTGTTGATTGAAATCCCTGTTTTCCTTACGCAGAACTCCTGTGTTTCTCATTTTCTTTGATAATTATTTACTTCACTCTACCGTATGTAGGCTGGCAACACTGAGGACATTGAAAAGTTCAGTAAACGTTCTGTGAAGGTTGGTTGGCTTCTTCCTGCTTGTGTGCTATCCTCTCCCTTTATAAAGTCAGGAGAGTGAATTGACTTTCTTTTTTTACACTCATAGGTCACGAAGCAGCATAACGAAGACTGCAAAAAATTGTTGAGACTCATGGGAGTCCCTGTAATTGAGGTGATTTCTCAATAATGACGGTGCTATTATTTGTTGTGATTGCTATTCTGGGAGTCTTTTCATGTGCTTTATTCTAACAAACATATGAGTCTTCCTCTGTAGGCTCCTTCTGAAGCTGAAGCACAGTGTGCTGCTCTCTGCAAATCAGGGAAGGCATGCATCTTTCCCTCTGTAGTGACCTCCCTATTTTCATTCATGTTGTTTGTCTGTAGTGATAGTGTTATTTGGGCTGAAAGTATGAAGCTTTACTTTCTGAACTTTTGATGATGTATATGTGGCCATGCACTACTACTAGGAAGTAAGATAAGGCCTTGGGTTTCATCTGCTAATGGCTGCAGTGTGCTTTCCAATTACTCCAATTTTCTGAAATTGGGAGCTACTACTTCTATTTACAATTAGCTGGACCATTTGTTAGTTTTCAAGGGAATAACAAAATAGATTGCTTTTTCACCTAAAATTTCTTATGCTAATTGTTTCAGTACTTCTTCAGCTTCATTAAATTGCTGTTTCTAGTTCCTTAATGCTAAAATAGTAAAATCGCACAAGAAAGAGTCTAATTAGCTTTTTATATTCAGGCTTACGCCGTAGCTTCTGAAGACATGGATTCACTTACGTTTGGAGCTCCTAGATTTCTTCGTCATCTAATGGATCCCAGCTCGAAAAAAGTTCCTGTCATGGAATTTGAAATCGCTAAGGTGTGTAGTTGTAGAAAAAATCACTTGACACAATTCCTTGATCCCAATGTCTAATCATCGTCGTTCTTTTCAGATCTTGGAAGATCTAAACATCAGCATGGACCAGTTCATTGATCTTTGTATCCTCTCCGGATGTGATTATTGCGACAGCATCCGAGGTACTTGATTTTCTTTCTAGTGTATATTTCAGTGGATGCAATCCCGTGTTTCAGGGTGTCTTATGTGTATGCAATAATAGCTTCTGTTGTGGATTTATGTCATAGGAATTGGAGGCCAGACTGCCTTAAAGCTCATTCGTCAGCATGGCTCCATAGAGGGTATAATTGAGAACATAAGCAAAGAGAGGTGTGTCTTACTTGCTGTCCTGCCTTCATTAGTGTTTCTTTTACTGTTATTCAACTTGTTTTAGTGTTCAACATATTGAACAACCATGGGATATAACTAGTGCTCTAAATGTTCCAGTGAGCTTTAGTTTGTGGATACAGGAAGAATTACTAAGGTCCCTCTCTTTTGTGGACATTATGTCACTTTGACCTTGCCTGAGTGGATGAAGCTTGCGGCAGTTATTTTTATTTTGTTCTTCCTTATTTGAAGTTTTAAAGTTTTTCAGGTATAGTATTATTTATCAATAAGATTTCTTGAGATTAAGTTCCTTGCTTCTAAAGTTTGTAATTCCTATACGAAGAAGTTTCGTCACAGGTTCATGGTAAAGAGGGAAAACAGAGAGTTTAGTGGATTCTTGAAACCCTTCTCGAGCGGATTTTCCAGTGAGGTTCTGCTCTTGGATTGGAGAGGCAACACTTGGAAACCCTAGTTTCCTGTTGCTTTCTAGAATTTACGCCAACTGTCTCAAACGCAATTCATTCCCGTTTCCTCTTTGCCTTATAAACCTTGTGCACATTAGTTTGGTGTTAGAGCCAGGCTCTTCTGTCACTGTGCTGTGATCTATCTACCATGGTACTATGGTAGTGCTGAGCTGAATGCTCAACTGTTCACCATTCAACTATCGATGGCCTTAAGAACTACCTTGCCTAGAATCAAATTGAAATTGGAAGAAATAAAAAAATACCGTGACTAGGCCAAAAGCTAGGTGTTTCTGTGTGCCAAGTAACAAAACCAGCATAAAACAAGGAAGTATCAACCAAAAGAGAATAAACAAGAATCAGATACAGCCTAGATGAGTTGAAGACAAAGCATGTGAAACTTTTATTGTCGGGTGTATTTCAATCACTAAAGACTCACTAGTTGCTCCCTAAATTCTCGCTGATAAGGATGAGGATATGGAGGTTAAAAGATCAGAGTCCCTCTTAACGTTCATTGACTTTTTTGTTGTCGAGAGCTAGCTTGTGACGAATTTTATTTATTGAAATGTTTCTATCTTCTAGTACAATGGAGGAGATAGCAAAGAGTTGATTTCATTGCTGCATTATTGATTTTGGGTGTGGCTTTCAACTTATTCCTATTTCCACATATTAAAATATGAGCACAATTTTTCATCAACCAGGAGAATTTAATCTTCATTGAGCTTGGTGTAATTTTCCCTGTTCTTGTTTCGTTGAGGTTTTTAAGAATTTCCTTTAAACCTAGACACTTCATTAGTTGCCTGATGGGCTTTGATTTCATTAGATCCTCATAATTGCTGGCCCATTTCATAACCAAACTATTCACATTTAGGTACCAAATACCGGAGGACTGGCCTTATGTGGAAGCTCGAAGGTTATTTAAAGAACCAAATGTTATTGCAGAGGATGAACAGGAGATCAAATGGGCATCTCCGGACGAAGAAGTAGTTTAATTCCCTTCATACACTGTTCTAGTGATTTTTGCCTTTTTGTTTCTCCTATAATTGGACATGTTTGTTTATCATTTTTCTGGTTTGTCAGGGCTTGGTTAGTTTCCTGGTGAATGGAAATGGATTCAGTGCCGACAGGGTGACTAAGGTGTGCCTCACTCAAGTCATATCAATCACTTTGTGTTGTACTCTTTCTAATCAATTCGTCATTTGTTTGACATCAATAGGCAATAGAAAAAGTCAAAGCAGCCAAGAACAAGTCCTCACAGGGCAGGTAAGCATCTGTTGTTTGTTCTCTGCATCAATAGGTTCTAACAGAGGAGGCAACTGTGTTTGATATATGATGATATTTTGCATAATAGCGGCACAAACAGATTTTAGTGTGTGTGCTAATTGGGTAAGTTGAATCACTTTTCTTTTATCATCCTGATATGGGTATGATTGAGGTGAATGAGGCAAAAACATGTTGCAAGGAAAGTAAACTCCTAAGTCCTATGTCTTCAAGATAATGAAAGATGCAACATATTCAGAATGTATGGTCAATAGGGTGATAAAGGGAAACATACTTTTACTGTTCAGTTGACGAAGAATACTAAACATACAAATAATAGAGGTTTTACATATTTTATCATATAGAATTTGTTATTTTGTGTAACAAGTGTTACTACTTTATTAGCAAGTGGCACATGATGTTCTTTATGTGGGCCTCTTGTACTGCGACTTGCTAGCTGGCATCAAAGACCCCCTTGTATCAGGGGGAGCCTGGAGTCTCGATTAACTGCTAGCTGCTTAATTACTCTGTGCTGAAGGACTTGAGCTTAGACGTGCTTATAGTCTAGATCATGAAATTTAAGATGGGAATAATTAAACAGAAGCTAGAATGAGAAATGGAAGTGGAAAACCAAAACAGAAAAAAATAGGTGTGCATTCTTGAGAATGGTCGCCACCTCTCCCTTCTCCCAAAGCTTATCAAATGAGAGCTAGTGAACTTGAAAATGTCTTATTTTTTATTTTTATAATGGGAAAGTGACAATAATGCAAGACTGGAAAACACTTATTCACACAATGGAACGTATATTTAAAATGAAATGTGAGTAAATTATGAAATGATAGGGCCTGTAATATGATAACTTCTTTTGCGAATTTTACTAAGTATCTGCTTGATTTATCTGCTGTTCGCTGGACTCAAACATCTCCGAAACGCCAACTGCTCTAACTACTTACCAGTTACCACGGCATATGGAAAATCCTAACTGAGCCATAATCATTATTGTATTTTTCTTTTAGGTGCTATAACTTTGGTTATTAAGATTCATTGTTGGCATAGTTTTAGGTGAATTTAGAGTTATCATTTTCACACTTACGAGAGAAGTAGTGATAGAGGAATGGTGATTCAGTGCGTATCAAAGACATTTTATGTTTTCTTATACTTTCTCATGAGCGCCCTTGTCTACATTTTTGTTGCACAGATTGGATTCATTTTTCAAACCTGCTGCCAGCACATCCATTCCCCTTAAGCGGAAGGTAATGTGCCATTGCAAGCATCTTATCATATGATATTTTCTCAACTCTTCTTTACTTGATAGGATATCATCATTCTGTGTTGTGTAATAGACAGGTAGAAGTTGAAAGTTAAAATTGAATAAATCTGCTTGTTGATGCATGCATGTATGCTTACTTGAGTTAAACTGTAGTTTGGTATTGCATCTGGAATGTGCTTCTGATGCTGTACATTTGCGTTCAAAATGACATGCTTGCATCTGAACTCATGAACTAACGGACAGAGTTAGGTACAGTTTGCCTACTCATGCAAGCTGATAGAAACCTCTTATATTGGCACTCGAGTACTGCTGTTAGAGTCGTAAATTCTCAACTTGTTTGCTACAGATCTTAAATGCATATGACCTAAACTGGACGGGGTTTCTAAATTCGGTTAGGTGGAGATAGCAGCGGCTAGAGGACATTACCATTAATCCGTTATCTATTAGTAAAGAATTTTGATGGTTTCTTTCTCTGTGCTGCAAGTTTCCTCAAGAAGCAAATTCCTGCCCTGCTTTCTTTTCTGAACTTGTATGTGTTGTTAATTCTTTTCTTATTGCATAATCTTATCTTGTCCTGTTTATAGTTTTGCATATCCCCTGCTGTATTTATCTTTCTTTAAGCCTATTTCTGTGTAATGTTTTCTCGATAAAACAATGTGCTTACTTCTAATCAGTGTTTTCTCCCTTCAGTTAGTAAATGACTTGTCCATGCAATATCTAGTTAGATGGGACCCAGGATACATGATCTCGTGGCACATAACTTAATCATATAGGTTTTGGTCCCTGGAATAAGTAGACAATGGCATCACAGATCAGCAATCTAATGTTTGAATAGTTATTGGTTTCACTAAAACATCAATAGGTAGGGAGAGAGAAGCATGTTCTGAGCTTGCTATGAGGCACTACAAACATGACTGGTACCATAATTTTTTAGTGCTTTGGATGACAGGGAACATGTACTCTTGGGTCTCTCAAACCACTGGGAAGGCCAAAAATGGCCTCCATTCCAGCCTTTAGTTGTTGGTACTTGCCGAGGGTCTCTGGCAGTGCAAGGCTGCCAAGTCTGGAACTGAGTTCAAAGCACTATGTTCCATTTTCCAGAGTTGTCTGCTTCAGCTGATGAAGCTGAAACCCTGGTCACATCCATTTCAGTCACTGTTAGTTATTTTACCTTATTCCCAACACATTGAATAACCTTTGATGTCCATTTCAAATCCCAGTACATTGAGTGACCTTGTGGTTTGATATAATTTGGTGCTGTTGTTAAAACCGAATGTTAAAACTGAATACGTTTCTTGGATGGTGGCTTGAAGCAATTTTAAGTTTTGGTTTTAGGTTGTGTTGCTTGCGTTTTTTGTTTACTTCTCTTGCAAGGAACTCTTTGCTATGTAGGGTTTATACCATATAGGATGTGTGTAACGTGTGCTCGAGTTAAAGTCTGCCTGAAGTGATTCAGGGATGATGTTTGGTTTGTGGGCACTGTTTATTTTGTTTGCTTGCAACATCGATGATAGTTTTGATCTGGTGTGATAACAGGAGACGCCTGTTGCCACTACCAAGGGAGCGAGTGGGAAAAAATCGAAGGCTGGCGGTGGGAGGAAGAAGTAGCAGTTCGGGTTTGGCAAGTTGCATATGAATGTGGTCAACGTTGGGTATCGATGCTGACGATGCTTGCTGCCTCTCGAGAGGGAGATTGAAGATCGGTCAGCGCAAACTGGGTCCCGATTGAGGTCCTTAACTTCTTGACGCAGACATGTAACCATTTTGCTCATCATGGTTAGTGTTTGAGGCCATGCTAGTTAACGATGGGGATGTAGTTGATAATGTTTTGGGTTGATGAGAAAATATTGGTTTTGGTTTTATTCAGTTCTGAAAATTAGGTACCCGTTAATCAAGTTGTGTTTGGTAAATTCACACTTCACTGAGATGATTTCTATCCATAATCCTTCGTCAGTGCTTTCGAATTTGGATCCTTTCAAAACCCATTTACGGCTACCTAATATTTCCTCCACAATTGGAGATCTATATTCGATCAGAACGGGAGAAGACTTTGGGGCGGCATTCAAATTACAAGCACATCGCGTGGAAAGTTTATTGTTTTTAATATACTTATTTATTTGATTTCTTCATTTAATAACAAATTCATCTTGCTACTCTTAACTAAACTAAAATACTTGAGTTATGTAAATGTATTGTGTCCAAAGATAGAATAATGAGTTGTAATACAACATTAATGAGGACACACCAGGTGCCTCTCATCACCCAACAAAAAAGTTTGGCCTAACTATCCGATTAACCATTCATTATCTCAACTTGTGAATGCCAATTGATGAGAATTAAACATAAAAGGGTAAAGAGTCACAATTGAATCCATATATTAACATCAAAATATCTACATTGATATAATGATCGGTTTTCTTTTTTATAAGTGTGAAACAATTTAATAATGACGGAAAATATTCAATTATGTATGAAAAAAAGAAGAAAAAAAAGGAATGTCCCTAGTTCACGAAGGTGACAATCGGATGAAGTAACCTAAAACAAAACTCTAAAAGGAAAGGAAAAAAAAAAGGAAAATGAGCATAGGAACTACTACTACTTATTTCTCTCAACTATACTCTTGTCATAATTCTGGAGAGGCATTCGAGAAGGTATATAAGTCACGACTTCGTTTCCCATAATTTTAAGATACCTAAATTCTCCGGTATGAGAATCAAAAACAACACAATTATCATCTCCATAGTGTGTCTTGAAAAAACACTCCAAATTTCGGGAGAATCCCATGAAGTACGCAGGAGGCGTAGTAACGACAAGCAACTTTGTCCAGGACTCGTGTACCCAGTATTTCAACAACACCCACATCTCCCATGTAGCATCCCTTTTCACACCGACATCATAAATCGACATCCCTGGATTATGAGGGTCTCTTGTCACATTAGCATCTTGGACTTCGAAAAGAGCTACCATGGACTCCTCGTTCAACAAACATCGGGAAGTTCCAGACAAATCCTTTGCAGAAGCAGTAGGGTAAGGTAGCTCCACCCTCTCGAAAACTTCACTCCTCATGTCAAATGAATCGAAAAACAAAGTACTACTGTCTTTGATAGCCTCTTTGGATAGTCGCGACCAATACAACTTCCCCTTACGAAGTTGTGGAGTAGAGTACGACGGGAGCAGTGGATGATAATCGCCACAATTGTCATTGTCGTCGTCTAACATCTTCCACGAATCATTCCTCAAACTATACACCTCAACCAAGTAACGAGTCTGGTCAGTCTGGGAATGGACGGTCCGGGCCTGCCACAAGATCTTGTAGTCATCCGATTCCGAGTCGAAACCAAGCCAAGGCCCGTTACGGGTAATAACCTTGGCCCGACTTACGGTATTGGTTAGCGAACCGAGACCAAGCCAGGGCACAGCCGCTGAGCTATGATAGATATTGGGCGGGCATGGGATAGGTTTGATTTCCGAGGTGGCCCGATTCCAAAGAAACAAATCTTTGAAACCGCCGTCGTTTTGGGACAAACAAAACAGACCATTGCAATATGCTTCAACTTGTACGTGCGGATCGCGATTGTTGCCCGCCGGAAGGAGGGGCTCGAACGTGTCAGCCGGCGGCGGCGAGTGCAGAACGTAGTTTGACGAGCTTGAGAAGAATAAGCCGCCGCCGCTCCTAATCATAGTTTGATGAGCCGTAGAAGACGGATCGATGCCGCCGCGGGATAGCTTCTGCAGGATGTAAGAGGGATCGGAGAGGCGATCGCACCATGATTTGCTGAGGCAGCAAAATCGAGCCAGGCACTCGACCGGAAGCCTCCGTAAGATGTCATCCGTGATTTCCGCCGGAATTCCCACCTTCTTCATAATCGTAGCTGTGGTTCCAATGGAGCGAGAGTATTGATTTGTCTCTTTGGGAGAAGGGTAGGCGAGGTCAGAAGGATGAGTTGCTGCCTGCAGGTATTTATTTCTTCATTTAGGAGAAATCAGCTAAATCCTAATTCCTTGCGGATTGAGAAGAAATCAGCTCAATCCTTCTCGGATTCGGATCGGACGGGAAGCCGGGATGCAGAAAGAATACCAGAGCCTTCAAGATATCCAATAGCCATCAGATCATAATTGGGATAAAGCTGGCGATGAAACCAAAGGAGGCAAGATCAAAAGTCAAAACCCTTTCTGAGGCAGAAGGTTTGTGTGTGTCATTTGCTGGAAAACATGATTCTTCTGTTCCTGTTATTGCTGTTAAGGTATCACTAACGACTTCTTTCCTCTTGTTTAATCAGCGTTTTCCGGATTTTTACCAGCCTGCTCGTTTCTGTAAATCATTTCATTCCACCATTGCTGCAGGAATTTTTGAAAGAGGAACCATACTCGGCTGAAGAAAAGGGAAAGGCTATGGAAGAATATGCAAGTTGCACAAACATGAAACACCTGCTTCATCAAAGGCAAAAGAAGTTCACAACAATGTAAGTGTAGCCAATCAGCTGGGGCATACACGTGGAGCACAACTGTGCTGAACCAAATAGTGGTCAGCAAAAATTTCCAATCTCAAGCTGGGTTCAAGGATCCTTGAGGTTATCATATAGCAGATGGAAGGGATTTGAAAGCCAACCTTACGTCCCTTCAAAATAGGTAAAATGTTTATGTTTATCTAGCTCTGCCAAGTTTTTCTATGTCTTGCATTCTTCCAGTCATGGTTTGATCATTGGACAAACTGTCAACCAGTCGGTGTGTTTCTTTTCATTAATGCTCAGAATTGATTTGCATACCTAGCAGTGCTAGGTTGCTGAAGAAGCTTTAGTTGTTTGATATATATTTTTTTTCCCATGTCGACTGATTTCAGTGTGAAATTTCTGCCATTCCTTGCTAGGATAATATGTAGATTGGGAGTGTCAATCGCTTTTTACAGGTTGGAAAAGGCTGAATTAAGCAGAGGCTTTGGCAGTGAGGAGTATTACAATGTCGAGCCTACTTCGTGGCATCATCATGAAGTTATGATCAAAGCTAGGTAACTTGAATAAACCAACTGGTCATTAGGTAGGAGTTATGAGGAACCTGTCTGATTGCATGATCAGATCTGGATTTCGTTTGGGAGGACATTTGAATCTCTGACGATTTTAGTGCTTCGAAGCAAGTAGCCGTACTGGAATGGAGATCTCCAGTCCTATCACTCCTGGCCAGGTGCGTCTCTCAATTCTTGCTCAGAGTAGTAGTGTAGGTTTCTAGATCTCGTTTTCCCACGGATTTCGAAGCATATCTTAGGGAATTCTTTGTCAATTTGTGCGATAGAGTTTCCTCGGTGCATGCGAGCGATCCGGCTTTTTCTTTTGTGATTAGTAGGATTTAGGTTTGCGGTTACTGTGTTGCTTCTGCTAATTGACTGCGTATTGTGTTAATGCGTAGGTTTCGTTTTTCCTTGGAATCATACAAGAGAAAGAGAGCTGGCAAAGTGTAAGTTCAAACTCCCTGTCTTAGTTAAGCTCTGTTCCATGGATATGCGATAGTTAGATACTGTGTAGTTTGGTTATTTACGACTTGTTTGATGGGATCCAGAGAGATGAATTTGGCATTGCTGCTTTAAAATCTTGCTATGCCTGGTTTCTTCTTGTTGTTTAGCGTAATTGAGTTTGCAAGCTCTGGTAGTAGGCACTCTGATATCAGTTTAGTAGAAGTGGGACTCGAGGTGATCAAAGACAATGATAAAGCTGTTCTGTTGGATGGAGGCGGTCTTCAGTCTGCATCTCCCAGAGCTCGTAACTTGCATTCTTCATCTCCTATATTCAGGTCAGTGGAGAGAGCTTGCAGATAAACTATGGTTTGGAATTCTGTTTGTGTTTTTCGGTTTGGAGAGAGAAATAAATTTGTGTGCATTTTACTTGCTAGGTTCCTTCTGATGGATGAGCAGTATTTGTTAGATATTCGATTGAACCTTAGAGCCATGTAAGTATCTCGATTGTGACTTATAGATGACTGAATTTTGAATAGTTGAATCACAGATCATGAGACGGTTTGCTGCCTTGTGCAGATCTGAGTTTGTTTTCCTTTTGGTGGACTATTACCTTTGTGATCGCACTGATGTGTTTGCCTCTTCAACAAAGGTCTTCCCGCATACTTGTTTCTTATTCCTTTGCTTCCCCTTTTTTGCTCTGTTTAACTGTTTTAGCTACAATCAACTGCTGCCTTCAAGCCAACAAGATGACTGTAGATGTCCTGCTACTGTTGCGTCTGCTTCACTATCACCTTTTGTCTTTTTGCAGTCCTACAATCGGGATCTTTTCTAGTTCCTCTACTTCCTTCTCATCATTGTTTCAGCCATTACTTCTTTGATATACCATTACTTTGCTGCAGCAATGGCGATGTATAATGCAATCCGAGTGTTTATTACTGCATATGTCTGTCCGATCGTACTCGTAAAGCTGCAGTTGCACATCTCCTCTTCGTCCTGCCATCCTTTCACCGTCTCCATCACATTTTCTGTGTTTCTGGCTCGTCGTCCATGCCTCCCTTTGCTGACAGTACTCGCAAATCTGCAAATGCACCCTCCTCTTCCTGCTGCCATCCTTTCACCGTCTCCCTCGCCTTTTCCATGTTTCCGGGTCGTCCTTGTCGCTGACACACGGCACCGCTGACGAACCCTCTTCCAGACACACCGCCCCCATGAATCGTGCTTTAATAGCCCTGCTTGGTTCCTTGGGGCCCTGGCGAGGCTGATTGCTCTCTGCTTTTCCTCTCTCTCCCGACTCATTCCTGCTTCCTATTTCATAGGTGTTGCTATATTTCCCGCCCCGATCCAGCGAGACCTTCTCTATCTTTCCTGCATCGACCTACCATGCTTTTTCCCTCTGCTCCTCTGATCACTCTACTGTGTGCTTCTCCACCTTACCTCCTCTTTGGAGATGTTCTCGCACGTCACCGCCCATGCCACCTTTGCACAACCAATTGGACACGGCACAAGGGATGCACTGTACTGACCAATCAACAAGTCCACTGTGCACTAGAGAAGCGTTGTCTTCTCTGGTTTCATGCTACGACCTCATTCTCGCCTCCTATTGGAATTGTAATTGTAATTGGGATTCTTCCTCTTTGTTGAGTTGTTCCCATATTCCACCCTCAATTCTAACCAACTCTCTTTTGTGCTCTTACCTCTCCTGCCTTCCTTTGACACTGAAGTTCTCCTTCTGACAAATCATTCATTCGCTATATTTTCCTCTTCTTATCCAGTTACCGCATATATGTATCAGAAGATGGAGATAAGGGTGCCGCGGAAATGTCGGTTGAGAAAACGGAGAGGATGATGCTGTCAGTGTGAGGAGTTTCAAAAATGGAGGAGGGAGGCCATGGAAGGGGAGGCGAGAGTGGACAAGGATCATGAAGAGTAGGAGAGGGCAGTGGCGGCAAATTGGCTTATGGAGGCAAATACGAGGGGGTTCCTTCTCTCCAAATCTGCACCAGCAGATCTGTTAGGGGCAGCAGCAATAGCCAGACAAGGTTTTGGAGCTACCAGGTCAGGACGTTGATGTCAGCTTCCCTCAATATTCTGGGTGTGTGACAGAGAACGAAAAGACTTGGAGGGCTTTGTTATATTGGTTCTTTGAATTCTTTGAGGATCACGGGTCCAAGCCTCCCATACTGGGCTCAATGGAGGTCAATCAAGCTTCTAATTCTTATTTCATACTTTTCTTTTATGTTGGTCAGATGATTCGTTGTATTCTAGCGGGTGGGTTTTGATTTCTGAATCAGAAAGACTGTTTCTTTTTTAGTTTACAAGACCTGGATGTTCCTCCATTGCTTATGGTGTTGCTGAAGACATTGGTGCATTTAATCCTACTTGCTTGCGTTGATACATGTGGGATTATTGGGAGAAGTTTAACTTTGATTTTTTTATTTTGTTCTTAGGCAAGGTAGGAGGAGAGGCGCAATGCGCTAGAAGCTTTGCCATGTGCAGCTTTTCTTTGGACATTGTTTTAGTTTGGAAGACTATATCGAGTAAGCAAGGTAGGAGGAGAGGCGCATTGCACTAGAAGATTTGCCATGTGCTGCTTTTCTCTAGACATTGTTTTACTTTTGATGTTAGGCTGCCGACGTTGTTTGGGAGCCTACTGTGCAGAGATGAAAAACTAAAACCAGCCACATTTGTGATACATAACAACGTCTTTGATTCCGTTCTCAGCCCTATACATTGACGAACTGGTATCTCCTCCTAACATTTGTGATACAATAGCACAAACCCAAAGAACTTTTGTCTCCGCAAGATGACATTTACCTTGGTTGAGACTAATCCATGGAAATTGCAGGTTTTGAAAGAAAGGTTCCACTATCAGCTATAGCTAGCAGCTACCATTCGAAGGTGAATGAACTCAATCCTCAACTATCTGATTTGGAGCTTACATGTTATTTTGTGTTAGTGCTTTAATTGTGTGAATGAATATATATATAGGTTTCCCAGAGATTGCAATTCAGGTGCAGCAATATTGTCAGAGAAGTCGTTAATGGCCATATGTGTGTTCTTTACAAGTACTTCCAAAACAGGAGAGATCAAAGGTTTGATTTTCCGATACTTTGTATCAAATTGCCATTCTGCATTTCACCTCAATTTTCCAGTCAAGGTCAGACTTTAGATGGTTCAGTTTCGAAATGACCTTTGTGATGTGATATTTTCATTGCTGAAATGGAGGTTAAAATTGGATGTCGGTGGAATTCTTTTGAAACAAATTTTTCTCTGATCATTACATTGCTCAACAGGTTACCATATATCTCTTTCCAGGACATTCAGAAATACTATTTTAGTGTCTCTTTTCATCCGACATTCAGAATGCAATTTTAGTCTCTTTGCACATGTCTTGATGTTTCATCTAAACTTGCAATTATTCTGCCATTGAGAAACCTTCAGACATACCATGAGCAGATGGTATGTTGTCGACTCTCTGTAGAGAAGGCTTATGCTAAACTTGAAATGTGATTTGCTGGTCTTGAAAGCCTTTGATATATTCTCTGTGGTAACTGTAATTAGGATACTTGGAGGACAGCAACAGGTAGTCAAAAGTAGATACCTCTAATTGGAAAGTGTTCCACTAAAAACCTTAGCTCAAAGTTTAGTTTATGGTTCCAACTAATGGCATACGATTTTCTGAATATATTTGCATAAATGCAAATATTATATGCTGCTAAGAGCATGACCCACCATGTCAACGAAGAATTACTTAGAGTGAAGCTTTATTTTTCTTTGGAAGATGACAAACTCCCTAAAGACCAGACTAAGTGCTTAGGTCCAAGCTTCACTGATCAGAATTGATTCTTCCCTGTACGGAGAGGAGTTTAAGTGCTACCTCACTACTGTTCAATCCTTATCAGTGTTAGTCATGTTTATTCAAGGATGCTTTGGTCCCAGTTTCTCGGTTAGCCAGTCTATCTTCATATGAATATTTGGTTGATCATTTTGTGTATTGCTTTGCCCATATTACCAAAGATGCGTCTAGGTCAGTGACTTGATATTGGTGCTTCTTCAGAAACGGTGGCCTGACGAGAAGAGTTCACCAAAAGTAGTCCTTCACAATTTCAGGGCAGGAATAGATCATGTTAGGTGAGCTTTCTCAATTAGCTCTATTCCTTCCATTACTGCTCGCTGAATTCGCCGAGTCCAACAGTGAATCATGAACTTGGTGGTACTTTATTTACACAAACGAAAGTCGATAATTTTCATCTACCAAAATCATTCGCAGGTTGGTACCTGTGGTGTATAATGATCTGAATTGATCTAGCATTTCGAGAAGTATAAAATGATATAAAATTCATCACTCTATCCGTGAATCTGAAGATAGCAGTATCGCATTTGGCTTTTCTTTCGATATGTTGCTGATCCTAGATAATTCTTCTTTGTTTCGAAATGTTTCGTTAGTAACTTTTGCCTTTCATTTTTGGTTGTTCTGATATTGGATTGCAATGGGATATTGTGGCTGCTGGAAATGCTGTATCTGCATCAAGAAGGGTGATTGGAGTTCTGGATATGCTTCTGCGGCTGTTAATGCTGCATCTGGAAGTGGGGATGCCAAAAGCCTGCACTTCTATTCTCACTGGCCCAAAAGAGTACATCAAGAGCTAAACATCATCATCCACATTAATTTTGTTGGTCTTCTTCTTTTCTACAAAATAGGGGTAATTTACTTGGCCCAACACGCAGTGGCGTAGCTAGGATTTCGTCTAAGGTGGGTTCGCTTAGAAAAAAAACATGATAAATTATTTTTTGTTAAACTTTCCTAGTCATTCATGATATAATCTTATATTGGTAAATTCTGATAAATTAAAATACATTAGTAGGCAAAACTATCAAGAATTCATAATTTAGTTATTTGTTCTCTTTCGAATGTTGTTCTTTGTCAAGAACCTTTTATTATAAAGAATATCATTCTATGTACCAAACAACTATTAATGTTTTAGTTAGTCATTCTTTTTCGAATGGTGTTCTGTCAAGGACCGTTTAGTATCAATAATTCGAGTTGTTGAGAGAGTTTTAATAATGAAACTTATACCAAACAATAACTAATGATTTAGTTAGTCGTTTATTTTCGAATGATGTTCTTTGTCTGGAACCATTCAATATCAATAACTCAAGTTATCGGGAGAGGTTCAATATATATCTTATACCATTTACTAGCACGCTCTCTCATAAGAAAGTCAGCTTATACAAAATTGAAGTTTGCACAAATCCGAATATCGTGTGCTTAAGAAATGTGGTCGCCAACCCAAGATTCGAACACAAGACTTTTCGATCAACTATTCTCAATTAGACACCTCCTAGTTTTCAATATCAATTAATTATTATAAGTAATTTAACCAGTTTCCTTCCGATCTAGGGTGCTCTCCCTCCGCCACTGCCAACACGATTAAATCTCCCGCGGCATAGTCGTGGGTATTGATACTAGTATATATAAGATGGACAAGGTTACTAACAAATTCCATCCTTACACCTCATGGATACCAATAATGTATGTAATTCTCTTCTTAGTAGCTTCACATTTGAATGCTATATACTTCTGCTGATTAACTAATCAATTCTTGCATTTGTGGTGTATACATTCCAACATTGCCTTTGTCAGAAAACCGATGTTGCTATTGATCATTTAATTTTCCTATTGTCATATCTTTTTCCAACTACGACCAACGCTTGAGTTCTGCCTCAATTGCATTGAATTGAAGCACTCACCAATGTCAACAGAGTTCGAAGGGGCTCTCTTTCCTATTTCCCAACTCGTTTAGGCGGATTATCTTCCCGTTGTCAAGGGGTTCTGAGGAATGTCACCCCCAGTATTTCGGGAACTTTAGCCTGACCCTTTTTTCGTAAGTTACATGCTATACATACTTGTAAATCCTGTGAATTTACGTCTACCTAACTTCACTGCTTTCAATTGTTGAAATGTGGTTGATGTTGAACATGTCTCTCTCATAGTAGCCCGAAATCATGTGTTTTTTCCCCTTTCCTTCTCTAATCATTATTGAATTTGCTGCTCAAACTTTTTTCTCATTGATATTGGCTTTTTCTTCTGGGCTTTTAGTTGAAGAGACCTGCATCCATTTTGCTGTGATTCCATGAGAGAACGACGTTATTAGTGGAGCTGCTGATGCTGCTGAAGAGATCGGTGATTATGTCATTGCTAGCGTAGCTCAAATATAACTTATGCTGCTTGTGCCATGTTTTGCTTTAGATTAGGATTAATTGGTGTAATTAATTGAGGGCACTTTAGGAATTCCACAAAAATTTAGGCAGTGTCACAAGAATCACAGTTAAAAAAAAAAATCTTTTTGTTTTTTTTATTATTTCTTTACATTTTTTTTTCTATTACAGGGAATTAAAGGGAAAAGCACTACAGAATTACAGGGTAAAAACGAAAAGAATTTGCGGAAGGACCAATTCTGTGTATCCACATATCCCGGCGTAAAACTGAAAAAAAGAAGAAAAAAAAAAAGGCAGACGGAAACAACAACTAGGCAAACAAAAAGGTAGAAGAAGAGACCCCAGTCCCCACCCAAAGCTACGGCAAAGAGCCCCTGATGAACTATTCAACCATCCCCGCTAGAAACGGAAACTAATTAGGCTAGGCCTAGTCGCGATACCTGACATATCGGTTTATCGGGGCGAGTTGAGGCCAGTAAAAGTATGCATAAGCCCAGCGGTACGCTTTAAGTTTGGTGCCCATAGTGAAGCTCACCAATGCATCAAGAGCGGCGTATTGAATCTGCTGCTCGGTGAGTGTGGCGCGATTCCAGTTGGAATTAGCGATTTCATCGCCGAATCGGATGTGGGCGTCACCGAGGATCTCGGTGGTGAGCTGTTCTGTACTGAAGCCGTAGTAGTTCTTATTGCCATCATGTGTTGCAAGGATAGCCAGATTCAGGAATCGCATCCGTTGCTGATCGATTATGTTCCTCAACGACTGCATGTCGGCTCCAACGAAGGTGATGGTTGTAATTAGCTGAATGACCTAATTTGTTATTGAATAAGAGAATGGTTTAAATACCAATCTCTACAACAGTAGCATGTACCCACGTAACCCACGTAACCACAAGAGGGTAACAGCTACTCCACTACTCCACTAAGTACAACAATTAAATGAAAAGAGATTAATTTAACAAGATCTCTTAACACGCCCCCGCAAGATGGGGAGAGGTACGACACCAATCTTGGAGCGAAGTAGATGAAATCGCGCTATGGGCAGCGGCTTTGTCAAAGAGTCGGCCAGCTGGTAAGCTGTTGGAACATGTTGAACAAGAAGTTGCTTGGACTGCACCAGATCGCGAACAAACAGGTAATCAAGGGCAAGATGCTTCATGCGGGAGTGATGGATGGGATTGGCTGAAAAATTGACGGCGCCGAGGTTGTCACAGTAGAGGGACGGGACAGATGGAACCGGTTGATGGAGCTCTCGAAGGAGATTCTGAATCCATATGAGTTCCGACGTAGCATGAGCTAGAGCACGATATTCAGCCTCAGTGCTGGAGCGAGCGACCGAGCGTTGTTTCTTAGATTTCCAGGAAATAAGATTACCACCATAATAAATAAGAAACGCCATGGTTGAAGTACGATCATTGTGATCACCAGCCCAATCAGAGTCAGCAAAAGCAACCAAAGTCAGAGTTGAGGTAGAAGCAAGACGGAGGCCAAGGTGTGAGGTTCCTTTTAAGTAGCGCAACAGACGTTTGACATGCTGCCAATGAAGCTGGGTAGGAGCATGCATAAACTGAGATAGCTTGTTGACGGCGAATGCAATATCCGGACGAGTGCATAGTAAATATTGTAAGGAACCAATGACCTTTTTGTATAGAGTAATATCAGCTGGTGGCGTGCCATCTGCGAGTAACAACCTGGCGGTGGAGGATAATGGAGTGGGAGCAGACTGAGCGGTGCTCATGCCGAACCTGTCAAGTATGTCATGTATGAACTTTTGTTGAGAGAGCATGTATCCAGCAGTAGTAGGAACAACTTCGATGCCAAGAAAGTAGTTCACCGGGCCCAAAGATTTAAGAGAGAACCGAGCTGCAAGACGAGACTGAAACTGCGCAAGAGTGGGCGCATGATTTCCTGTAAGGAGCAGATCATCAACGTAAACCAGGAAATAAAGAGTGATAGAGTCCTGACGATAGATAAACAACGAAGCATCTGACTTGGACTTGACAAAACCCTCGGCCAGAAGAAAACTAGAGAGAGCCAGATACCATGAACGGGGGGCTTGGCGAAGTCCATAGATAGGCCGAGATAAACAGCAAACATGATCGGGATGAGCAGGATCACTAAACCCAGGCGGTTGTTTCATATAAACTGTCTCTGCCAAAGATCCTTGAAGAAAAGCATTGTTGACGTCGAATTGTAGGATAGGCCAGTGATGAGAGAGAGCAATGGAAAATACTGTACGGATGGTGACAGGCTTAAGAACAGGGCTATACGTGTCGTGAAAATCGATGCCTGGACGTTGAGAGAAACCCTGTGCCACCAACCGGGCTTTGAATCGTTCAATAGACCCATCCGGTCGACGTTTAATACGAAAGACCCACCTGCAGCCAACAATATTAAAGCCAAGAGGCCTGGGAACAAGGGACCAAGAGTTATTGGACAATAGAGCACGAAGTTCCTCGCGCATGGCCGCATTCCACCGCGGGTCAGCAAGGGCCTGCTTAACCGAGGTTGGTACAACCTCCATGGAGCTAACTTGAGAAATAAATAATTTCTTGGGGCAAAAGATACCCCGCTGACTTCGAGTGACAGGGCGACGTACCGGTTTGACTGGCGGTGGAGGCAGATTAGGCTGCTGTGAGGATGAAGCATCGGGAGGCGCAGCTGTAGGCGAGGAGAGGTGATGTCGTTGTGCCGGAGTGCAAGGTGCAAGAGAGGAACGAGGTGGGGAAGGAATGGAGGGATTTGTGGATGGAGAAATGGAGTAGATAGTAATGGGAGGCGTAGTAAAAGCAACCCAGGAAGGGGAATCATAGGCTGGGTCGCAAGAAGTGGAAAGACCAGGAAAGGTGCCTTCGTCGAACTGCACATGACGGGAGGTAAAAATGCGGTGGGAAATGGGGTCATAACAGTGATATGCGCTCTGTGAGAGGGAGTAGCCCAGGAAAATACAGCGACGAGAGCGAGGGTCAAGTTTGTGGGAGGAATAGGGACGGAGCCATGGGTAGCACAAGCAGCCAAACACGCGCAGTTTGAGATAATTTGGATTTTCATTGAATAAAGCATAAAATGGGCAGGCGCCACGGAGGGAAGTGGAGGGTAGGCGATTGATGAGATAAGTAGCAGTTTGGAAAGCATGAGTCCAAAACCGAAGGGGAAGGTGAGCCGTGTGAAGAAGAGCGAGCCCACTCTCGACAATGTGGCGATGCTTACGTTCAGCGAGACCATTGTGTTGGGGTGTATGAGGAGGGGTTAATAAGTGAGTGATACCATGGGTTTGAAAGAAAGAACAAAGTTTCTGGAATTCGCCACCACCATCACTATAAACACGGCGGATTGTGGTATGAAAATAATTTTCAATCATCGTTTTGTAAGTGGTGAAAACATGATGAACATCAGATTTACGGCGAAGTGGGTAAAGCCATGAATAACGAGAAAAATGATCAACGATGACTAAATAATATGAGTAATTGTCATGATAAAGAATAGGAGAAGGCTCCCAAACATCCATATATAACAAATCAAATGGACGAGAACTAGTCAGACTCGAAACGGAGAAAGGCAGTTTCCGACTTTTATGAAGAGAACAAGAGTCACACAAAGAAGAACAAGACGAAGAGGTGACCGGGAGAGATTGATTACGCAGCACTCGAGTAAGAAGCTTAGCATGAGGATGTCCCAACCAGTTGTGCCAAACTGCAGAGGAGAGCTGGGTCGCAGCAGATAAGGCAAGACGAACAGGAGGAGAATCCGTCGGCAGCTCATAGACATCACCCTTATTCTGGCCTCGTAGCAGGTGCGCCCCCGTGGCTAGATCCTTCACAACAAAAAAATCAGAAAAGAATTCCACAGATACCGGATTAGATTTACACAGTTGGGCAACAGACAACAACCGACGCTTAATAGCAGGAACACACAAAACATTATGGAGATCCAAACGTGTCTTAGCCGAAGATAAATGAGAATGACCAACGTGAGAAATAACCAGACCTGACCCATCGCCGATAAGCACCTCATCCGGACCATTGTAATCAGTATATATAGAGAGAGTACCAAGATCCGGTGTCATGTGATTCGTGGCAGCAGAGTCGACCAACCAGCCGGACGAATTGGAGGTGCCAGCGGCAGTGTAGTGAGCTTGAGGACGACCTTTGATGCGATAACAATCTTTGGCTGAATGGCCAGGCTTGTCACAAAATTGACACTGCAGCCGAGGTCTACCAAGGAGAGACGGAGCAGCCGAACTAGGACCATAGTTTGCTGGAGTACGAGGGGAATTGGGGCTGCGGGACTGACGAGAATTGTCCTCCCTTTGGAAATAATAATCAGACCATAAGAAGAGGAGTTGGGGAAGCTACGACGTGAGCCTGAAGAAGAGCGAGCATACCCACGACCACGCAATGATGAGAAAGCGGTGGTGGGAGCCTGGACAGGTTGGCGAACAGTGGCCAAGTCAGCTTCAAAGTCAACAAGTCGATCGTGAAGATCTTCAATGGCGATTGGCGTGTCCCGGGCTCTAATGGCGGCAGATAGATGACCATACTCCTCACGAAGACCACGCAGAATATGAAGAATTAGATCTTCATCGGAAACAGGAGCATTAATGAGTGCGAGTTCGGCGGCTGTGGTGCGCTGAGCCTGAAGATAAACAGATACTGGACGATTGCCCTGAGTTTCTTTGCCAAGTTTTTCCTTTAAATTGATGACGCGTTGGCGCGATTGATTTGCGAACATACGTTCTAAGATTGTCCATGCTTGTCGAGATGTGGTGGATGCAGAGACATAGGGAGCAGCCCCCGGGGACATAGAAGCAAGGATAGAATGAAGAAGCAATTGATCTTGCCTGAACCAGTGACGACGAACGGCTGCAGCGGCATCATCGGCAGGGGCAGGATGAGTGCCATCCAAAAATTTGAGAAGGTCGAGTCCACGAAGAAGAGTGAGTAGCTGTGCCCTCCAGGTAGGGAAATTGTCACCGGTAAGTTTAGTGGGCAACTGAGAAGCAGGGTTTAACGTGATGATGGTGTTTGTATCATCTAGGTTGATCACAGTTTCACCTGACATGTTTGAAGAAGAAGAATAGAGATGAGAGGATTGTGATTTGGGTAGGCAGGAGGATGATGCAGCTGCGTCTGTAACAGGGAAGAAGAAAAGAAATTGACGAAAAATAGAGGGAGAAGATCTTGAGGATTTGAGTCGGATTTTTAGGAGAAAGGAGTTAAGGAGATCGGAGTCTTAGCTCTGATACCATGTAATTAGCTGAATGACCTAATTTGTTATTGAATAAGAGAATGGTTTAAATACCAATCTCTACAACAGTAGCATGTACCCACGTAACCCACGTAACCACAAGAGGGTAACAGCTACTCCACTACTCCACTAAGTACAACAATTAAATGAAAAGAGATTAATTTAACAAGATCTCTTAACAATGGTGAGATCAGCGAGGGCTTGCTGAACGGAAAGCGGCAGAAAACGCATGCGAGCCGTCTGTTTCAACAGACACGCCCTCCCAAAACAGATATTGAATGTGGAAGTAGCTCCGGCAGCGCCGGGGGTGAAGCGACCGCCGAGTCCGACGGTACACTGATCGCGAGGCTCGGGCCGGGCCGCGCGATCGAGCAAGTATTGTCGAATCCATGCGTTGACTGCTTCCACGTTGTAGGTGACAGTGACTCTCACCTCCGGCTTACCGTGGAAGAGGAGATCGTACTCTCGAGTGTGTGGTGGAAGGGGGACAGCGGGATGGTGCGGCACAAGAGCGTGGTACGAGCTCGTCATGGAAATCAGATATCAAGAAGCTAGTTCTTGAAGGAGGAACGGAAAGGAGAGGTTCGGTTAGAAATGGCGCTGAATTTGGGAGTCGGAAGAGCTCGGTGCTTGGAGGAGGAACGGAAAGAGAAGGTTCGGTTATAATGGCTATGAATTTGGGAGTGGGAAGCTCGTTCTTGTTCTTGGAGTAGGAACGGAGAGGGAAAGTTTGGGCGCAGAATTGGGGAATTTAGGAGTGGCGAGGGAAGGATGTTTCCAGAACTTTGAGAGGACTGGGGGCGGGCGGGGTGGGGGTGTTTATATAGTGGCCGGGAACGGAATAGTAAGAATGAGGGAGTGAGTGATGGTTGTGTAGGAGCGGCCTCTTCCGATTCCCAGGAGTTCCTGCCTCTGCTACTCTTCACTTCCGTTTTTGACTATTCTTCTGGGTGGGATGTTCTCAGTTTCTAATCTCCAACCCAGCTTTTAATAAAAGAGAATGGGAATGGATTGTATGCTTTTTATTTGGTGATGGTGGTTAAAATGCTACCTAGCTTCTTTCATACCGTTCTGTGCTTGGATCTCATGGTGCTTAATTCTGACAATGCTCAGAGCAATAGAGGTTCTGTGTTTGAAGAGGCAAGCCAAGGAGCTTGAAGAAGACACAGATGATGATGATGATGATGATGAGATGTCGAGAAGAAACAACACCCGCCACACCAACAAGAACAGTATGGGGGCTCGGCTCAAGTTGGAATGACCAAGGCGGGAGATGGTGCAATCCAAGCTTGGTGAAAGTGGTAGGGAATCAGGATTGGGAAACAAGCAACTGCAATGAGAGAGGTCAGCAGCAACAAATGGAGGTGCATGGGGAAGTGGTACAAATAAATGGGAATGACTTCTTTGTGAAGGTGTTCTGTGAGCACAGCCCAGGTGGGTTTGTGAGGTTGATAGAGGCTTTGGATTCTCTTGGCCTAGAAGCAGTCACCAATGCCAATATCACCAGCTGCAATTCCCTTGTTTCCATTGTTTTCAGGGCGCAGGTAAAAGCCTGATAAGCTTGTCGCAACTGTCCCGTCCGGGGGGTCCGAATGTCGTCGCGTCGGCATTTTTTGGGAGTCGCCATCGATCTTAGTTGGAGTGGATCGAACACTCTTAGGATCGGCTCTAACCTTAGGGTCAGAACCGAGATATGGTCTGCGAAAATGAAGTTCTGGGTTCGGGAGTACGGTTACGTGTAGGGAAGTTAAGTAACACCCCCACAACGCCCTAAATCGGTACTACTTAAGTCGATAAGTTTTATACGAGTTGGGTGTATTTTAGTAATAATTTGTAATTTTAGGGGTCCCACTGGACCATTTAATGATTTAATCATATTAGTTGTAATTTAATTATACGCCCACTGACGTAAAAATTTAAAGATAAAGTTAGTTGATTAATTGGACTCGAACCTTATCGGTTGCCTACGTACCCGTAAGACGGGATCAAAGTCCACGTAGTTCGCTTGAACTTTGATAGTTTAATTGTGACATTTTCATCACGTTCCACTGATCGTGATTTTCGTATTATAATTTTATTGTTAAAATTTAGATTGATTATTATTAGGATTTAGTTATTAGGATGTATTTTGGTGTATTAGAAAAGAGACGAGATAAACTTAATCCACATTTCACATTTCGTATTAAGGACTGTGAAGGAATAAAATTAAGCGGGATGTTTTAATTGACGGATGATGGGCCAGCAGCCCAACTGGTTATGCTCCCAAGCATGCCGCTATTGTTGCTGGGGACGGGGGTTCGATGTCCACCAGCCTCATTTTTTTTGTCCCCTTTTCTATTTCAGAGAAAGGCGAGGGGGCAATTTCGTAATTGCTCAGAAACGCGGTGGCAAGGCCACGTAATTACGACGTAACCCTAGGGGTAATTTGGTCGTTTCCGGGTGAGTATAAATTCATCTTAAAGAAGGAAAGAACGCTATTCTGCTACTGTCTTACCTAAACCGAACGGCGGCCTTCACTCTCTCCCTCTCTCGATTTTCTGCTTCTTTCTCGTTCCATTCACCGGAAAACGGCGACGAAACTCTCTTCCTTCTCGCTCCTCCAGCCGGCGAAACGACCCGAAGACAACCCCCTTCTCTCTCTCTCTCTCTCTCTCTCTCGTTCTGCCTTCTTCTTTCTCACTCGCCATTCACTGCCTCTCCGTGTCGGCGACGGGCACGGCGGCGGAACCTCGTCGGCGACGGGCACGGCGGCGGAACCTCGTCGGCGACGATCGATCGAGGTAGGGTCATCTTGCATGTCGGCTTCTTAGCTATTTTTTGTTTTAATTATGATTCTGATATGGATTTGTGTTTATTTTGGAGTTTATGAGGTTTGTTTACTTCTTTATTCATGCGATTTCTGCTATTTTCGTATCCGATGTTAGGGGTTTTTTTCGAAATTCTGACCCCTATTTCTTGTGTTTTATTTCCAGAAAAACCAACCCAGAGCCGAGATGGGTTCTCAATCTGCCTTTCTGGTTGGGACCGCGACGATGGTGAGAAGATCTTACCCCCTGGTAAGCCCTCTCTTTAATACGCATGTTTATTTTTATTGATTACCCTTTCGATTGGGATCTTACCCCATTTGTTTATTTTTTGTTTTTGTTCCGGTCTCCACCGAAAAGAGAAATGGGAGCTGCCGGCGACGCAGCCTGCACCACAACCGGCGGCAGAGTTTTGGTTTCGGTATCCTTTTTTATTTATTTTTGTTGTTACAGGTTTTGATCTGGGACTTGTTTATTTGGTTGAAAAAGCTAAAAGAAGCTAAACTAATGATCGCTGCTACTGCCTGCGATCTATAACAGAATCAAACTTTCTCTCTTGCTATTTGATTGTTTGATTTGGGATTTTTGGGTAATGAACCAAAGTAGCTACTTTCGCTTCTATAAATCTCTGCCACTGTTTGCCATTTTTATCGGACTAGGATTTGCTATCTTTTATTGAATTTCTGCATTAATTTCGTTTATTGGTCTTTACTTGGTAGTTTGAGGTAGTCTCTCTATTTCGCCTATGGTATACTGAACAGCTAGTGGCTTTTGTTAAGTTTCCAATTGAAAAGATCTTACAATAACCTAGTCATAGACACTACTATGATTACATAGGGACTATAGGTCTTAATTGAACTTGTCATAACTGGTTTCATATAATGTTTTGTTTACTTTGGGCAGAAACATGTATTCAAAAGTATAGTGAAGTCAGATCTAGCACATAGATAAATCAGATCTAGCACAAGTAAATGTCGTTAAATGGGCATAAATATGTCGGATCTGACTTTCTTATCTGCAAGCAACAAACTGGTTTGGTTTTGTTGGTTTTTAGATTAGCAAATTCGTAGCAAGATTTAGAGTTTCGAGTGAAAGCCATAGGAAACTAGTTGCCTCAGTTAGCTTCAATCATTCATATACATATAGCTCTATCATGGAAAAATGGCTTCAATCATCTACTTACATACAGTTCTAGCATAAAAGCATGTCTATTCTTGTTTTTCTACTATGTTTTTAGATATATTGGGCTGAATGATTATGTAAATATGGGTGACATATACTTGTAACTTTGGTTTTGGTTGAAGAAATACCAACCTGGTATGGCCTCTTAGTGGTTGGTGTTTGATGAAATCTGATTTGTTGTTGCCTCTTTGTTGTTTGTGCCTTTGTTCTTGAAGTTCCCTTCTGAATCTCTCCTTTTCTTCAATATCGTGTTTGCTGCCTTTGCTTTCTCTCCTTGTATCGATCAGCTTCCCTTCTCCTATCAAATTTGCTGTTTTTTTTATCGTGATATTTTCCCCCTTTTTTGGATTTCCAGCCAGAAGTCCCCCTCTGTTTTTTAGCCGACCTCCACTTTTATATCTGGTTTTTTTACTATTCATTTGGGTGTGTTGTCAATTGTTTGTTTGGTTTGCAGAAGAGCTGGCCATTTTCCTCCCTTCAAGAAAAGGCAGTAATCATTGCTGGCCTTTTGGATGAGATAGGCTTCAAGAAGTCGGTTGATCCAAGTTGACTGAAGTTGACCCATTGACTTTGTTTGACTGGGCTGGTTGACTTGTGGACTGGGCCGAAAATTACGGACCTGGATTGGGTTTATGGTTTGAGAATTGGGCTGCTGGTGTGGGTTTGTTTCTGATAGTTTTTTTTGTTTTTAATGTATAATTACTAAGTGTATAAATTGTAATTTGTAGTTACACATTTATTTATGTTATTGCCTTCAGAATTAGATGATCATTGTATGAATTGCTCAAACATTCAATTGATTCTTCCAACCCAATTCGTTTGCTTTTAAATCGTATCCAAATTTCTAATCAACGTTTCCCAAACCATGGATTACTACTATTCCTCCATTTGACCACCTTTGGACCAATGTGACCAACTGTAAACTGAGTACAATGATATTAGTATAGGTTGTGACAACACTATTGTTATTCTAAATAAAGCGAAAGCGAATTTGGTAACCATCAGCTACTATTGTTATTCTAAATAAAGCGAAAGCGAATTTGGTAACCATTAGCTACTGCTAATCCTAACTAGTACAAATGTTCAAACTAAATAAAAAGAGGACTTGGAAATCGTTGGTACTTATTGATTCGCCATCGCTAATCTCAACCAACCTCGTCCAAATTTCACTTGAGTTTTCTTTTTAAGTTGGATATTCTTTTGAGTTTTGAGTAGGATGGTTGCTCCGGACAAAATGTGGTGTCTACAGTTGCCCCCCTTTGTATATCTCTTTGTATAAAGAGTTATACAAAGTTCTTATAAAGACACCACATTTTGTAAACTCTAATGTCGATTTTGTCATATATAAAGTGATACTTGAGTGTTGTGAGTACTACTTGTAGTTGTTTGCGTCACGAATGCAGATCATGACGCTCCCGTGCGTTGTTGATTTGGTAGAGGGGCTCGCCAGCTCCTGTGAGGTATTGAATGGTAGGGGTGCTCCTCAGCTCCCGTGAGGTACTGAATGGTAGGGGCACTCCTCAGCTCCCGTGCGTTGTTGACTGATAGAGGGGCTCGCCAGCTCCTGTGAGGTATTGAATGGTAGGGGCGCTCCTCAGCTCCCATGCGTTGTTGACTGATAGAGGGGCTCGCCAGCTCCTGTGAGGTTTTGAATGGTAGGGGCGCTCCTCAGCTCCCATGCGTTGTTGACTGATAGAGGGGCTCGCCAGCTCCTGTGAGGTTTTGAATGGTTGGGGCGCTCCTCAGCTCCCATGCGTTGTTGACTGATAGAGGGGCTCGCCAGCTCCTGTGAGGTTTTGAATGGTTGGGGCGCTCCTCAGCTCCCATGCGTTGTTGACTGATAGAGGGGCTCGCCAGCTCCTGTGAGGTTTTGAATGGTAGGGGCGCTCCTCAGCTCCCATGCGTTGTTGACTGATAGAGGGGCTCGCCAGCTCCTGTGAGGTTTTGAATGGTTGGGGCGCTCCTCAGCTCCCATGCGTTGTTGACTGATAGAGGGGCTCGCCAGCTCCTGTGAGGTTTTGAATGGTAGGGGCGCTCCTCAGCTCCCATGCGTTGTTGACTGATAGAGGGGCTCGCCAGCTCCTGTGAGGTTTTGATTGGTTGGGGCGCTCCTCAGCTCCCATGAGGTATTAAATGGTAGGGGCTCCTCAGCTCCCGTGAGGTATTGAATGGTAGGGGCGCTCCTCAGCTCCCGTGCATTGTTGATTTGTTCCCGTGGCTGTAGGGAAGACTTTGAAATTTGGTTGCCCGGTGTGGTAAGCAAAGTGGGTGTAGATTTATTCCCATGGCGGTAGAGCATACTTGGGATTTCGGTTGCCCCCTTGCGGTATGCAGAGTGGGTGAAGGGTTTTTTTCTTTCGGTTGCGGTAAGCAGACTCGGGAATTTGGTTGCCCCCTCGCGGTATGAGGAGCGGGGTTAGGTTTTCTACATTGTCCGTGATAGTCGACGAAACAAGTTTTAGAAGGAGGGATCTCATTTGCTCGTGAAAGCCGACGAAGCAAATTTACTTAGTTATCTAAACTGCCCGTGATAGTCGACGGAACATGTTTAGCAGAGGGGATAATTTGCT